CGTAGTTTAGTTTAGTTTAGTTTAGTTTAGTTTAGTTTAGTTTAGTTTAGTTTAGTTTAGTTTAGGGATATGGCGTGACTCAAAGTAATCTGGCGTGATTCAAAAGTCACGAATCACGCCAGATCCCTTCGTTCACAACTTAAGCCTCACATCGGTGCGAGTTTTGAATTTGGTCTATGACACCTCAGTTTTGCAGTGACGTCACTTCTACGTCACCATTTCAAATCAACTGGTGATACATAAGCCCTTGGCTCATATAATTATTTTCTCTCTGTTTCTACAGATGATCCTAGTACCTACAACGGCCTACTAGATACCTGGTGTCCCGAGAATGGACACGTTAAAGTATTCTTAACAGATACAGGTGAAGAGGCCGTGCTTCTGCCTGAATGGCTGAGACTTCGTATGATAAGAGCTGGTACACAGAGGGTAGTTGATACAGGTATTTGACCAGTGGTGCAATATAAAATTGCATATTTCTGATCTTATAGACCCCTTGCATTGGGACAAAACTCTGGGGGACAAAACAGTTGGCTGTCTTTTCAATTTTCATTTAACCACCCCTCCCCCCAATAAAAATTATGCTCCCACGTCCCTGTAAAGTCATTGAGACTTCAGAAAGTGGTATTAATTCGATGATTTTCATTTTAAGTTATGAATATTAACTGTTATTTATATATATTTTCCCCCAGCGATTTCCGATTTAATTCCATCGCAGCTGGTTTTGTTTGCACAGTCCTTTGGGATCCCTGTGTACAGCATGAGGTAAGCAATACCAAATGAATATCATTAAACATATGTGGAAGTATAGAAAATAGTTGCAAGCCCAGTTATCATTCCCCTGAGAATAATATTTGTTATCACATATATTTTTCAGTTATATTACACTAATCTCTTCAAGCTTTTCGTCTAAACTTAATAAATAATAAAGGGATGACTTGTAGTCTGAAGCGAGTGCAAGGGCGGATCCAGGGTTTTTTTGAAGGGGGGGTCTCAGGGGTAAATTTTGTGGGCAAAGGAATCCCAATCGCATTTTACCACAGGAAGCCCATTTGACCTCAGGAATGACAGGGGGTTCATGACTCCCCCGCCCCTCCCCCAGGATCCGCCCTTGGAGTGGGTCGGTTACCTTTGAAGTGATACGTAGCTGTCTTCCTTGACCAAGCTTACGTCTTAAATTTTGTTTTCTCTACGATAGACTTATCACTAGGTTATTGGCAGGTTTCACTAGCTATATTTTTGTAAAGCTATACCACCGTTTTAGGAGAATTGATAAAAAATACCACAAGCATTTTATGGAAGTGCCCTATTAAATCTCTGAAAACAAGGGTGGTATTTCCTTTTAATAATACATTTAGATAAAATACGAGTTTCTGAAGTAAAAAAAATGCTCAATCTTTTCATTTGAAACCAAAACACCATGTACAAAGTACCCGGATGTGTGCAATTAATTGATTACAAAGAATTAAGGGAAAAATCATAACAAACCAGCCAATTAGAAACGAGTATTTTGTGTAGATGTTTTATTATGACCGAAAACTTTAATCACAATGTTTATTAAAGAAGCACTAGGATGAAAATCGATGAACATTAGAAATGACTTGAAACTTGGTTATACTTATCTATATGGCCCAGATAGTAGCCAAGCAACATATCTTCTTCACAGTCAAAAGTGGCGGATAAAAATTGTCAATTTTATTCAGCATCTAAATTGTGAGTAAATGACGTCATTTGCTCAACCCTATTGGTCTTTTCGCTTTTGAGCCAAAATTACTCATCTTTAAGTGGCCCCCAGGCTAACATTTTCACTAATCTGGTTTTCATAGTCATAACTGAGTCGTATTATTTTCAAATTCTTCAATTATTCGAACTTTCAAAAATTGGGGCGTTTTCATCCAAGTGCCCCTTTAAATCACTGTCTTTCCAGCCAAATCAAGAAAACAAAGTAGTTGACTACTTGGCTGCTGCTGAATTTGAGCTTTATTTTGGACCTCATAAATTTTATATATTTTTTTTATTTTTTAGTAAACTACTACAGCAGCTTGACGTGGCTGCACAACATGATGCCTTGAGCCTCGATGAAGCTGTTCTTGACAAAGGTACTGTAACACGTGTATATCACAGTATGCTAACTTGCAGTGGACCAGAATTGAAGCTATTCCAAAAACTTGAAACGGCCATTTTATAGACAAAACAATATCTCGGCTGATGTAAGTCAGGGCATTGCTAACTCACAGAT